AAAAAATGCATTAATTAATGTAATCTGCATTTGTCTCCCTTTAAAATAATTTTTAAAATTTTTATATTTATTTTCAATCACATATTTATATAATAAAAAAGTTCATAGTAAAAATTTTTCTCTATTTTTTAACCCATATCTTCTGAAAATTCAAAACATTTTTTATTTTTCAAAATAATGACCATTGAACGGTGGGGGGCTAAAAGCAGTACAAATGCAGGATCAGAAGCTCACAGGAAATTGTTCTGAATCTCTCTTCCTTCCTTCCTCAAAATCCACTCAGATCTTTCAAATACTTACTTCATGATTCAAATATACGTGTATATAAATATGTATTGCAAAGAATTATGACACTGGAAATTGTTCTGAATCTTAACAATTGTTTCTCTCTCTAAAAGAGACCACATTTATACATAGGATGCATATGCAGGATCCTTGTGTGAAACTGAAATTCACACTACACAGGAACTTATATATATTTTAATTTGATTTTTAGCTTCCCATTTTGTTAAATCTACTTGATTTTTGTTGTCAATTTGAGCGTATCAGTAAGACTTCTAGTGGCTGTACGTATACTTTATGTACTTGTGCATATTAAAGGATGGAGGTAACAGCAGAATCTAACTCATGGGGAGAGGAGCTGGCGAGCTTAATAGACCCGGGGATCCGATTCACTGACAAAGCAATTGGAGTTTCGGCGAACGAATATATGCCAAAAGAATCAGTCTTGGAGTCGCCGGAAAGTGAATCGGCGGTGGCGGCGGAACCGGAGAGTTTGAAAGATCAACTTAAGGGATTCGCCACGGCGTGGGGAGAAATGGTAGTGGAATTGGGCAGAGGATGTAAAGATGTGGTACAGCAGACATTACTGACTGAGGACTCTTACATTGTGAAGAAAACCAAAGGTCCGTTGGCAGAGATTTCGGAGAAACTGAGTTTTCTAAATGATTTCTTACCGGAGGATCGCGAACCGGCGCATGCTTGGCCGATTGTTTTCTTTGTTTTTATCCTTGCCATTGCAGGTAATTTGGTATTTCTCGAAGATTTTAGTATACTTTTTCTGTAAAATGATTTATTAATAACTGCGTTTTTCTTCTATGGCATTACTAATAATTGTTGGATTTCCAAATCTCAATTTTATTTTGATTTCTTAGAATATTTTTATTTTTTTCTACTGGTTGCACTTTATATTATATTTAGATGGTGAATACTACTTAGAAGTATTTAGAAGGCGGAGTGGAATTGAATCCGAGCGGTTGGATTGGATAAAGCTCCATTGAGTTGATTTTAGTGTAGTTCTTGCTATAGAGAATGTGAAAGGTGGTGACTGTTTTAGTCTAACGCTAGTACTAAATGAGCTGCGCAACTTATCACTGTGTCTCGAACTACAATTGTAATCTACACCATTGTTTCCAACATTTGGTGGTGGCTAATTTGTTTCAATATGTTTGGAAATAAATTTCTTAAAAGTAATATTCTATAACAGGAATGCACTTTGAAATATATTAATCACTGACCTTTGGTTTGACAAATGATGGCTGGTCAGTGAGGTAATCAAAATTGATCCTATGTTTCCTTTCTGTTCATATTGTTCTAGTGTCTGTCTTGAACAACATTGTTCAATGTGAGCAAAAATGATTATACGCAGTGCAGACTTTTTGATTGGTCTTAGACATTAATCCACCTATTTGTTTAGTCAACTATTATTTCTTAGACGCCACTTAACCTTTTTCCTAATTTCAAATTTTGCACTCCTGAAGGAAGAATGTTCATGCTAGATTTTCTGTTTTGTAAGTGCGCGTTTTCTTACTAAGTTTTTGTTAATCACGTTGAGAAATTGTTTTCAATGAATATGTGCAGTTCTGAGTGTAAATAGTAAACACGATAGTCCAAATCCAGTGGTGAAAAAGGTTAAAGTACATCCTCCTAGTGCTGCTCGTATACTTCTTCCAGATGGTAGATACTTGGCATATCGTGAGCTGGGTGTTCCTGCAGACAAAGCAAGATTTTCACTAATTGCTTCACATAGTTTCCTGTCTTCTCGCCTTGCTGGTACTACTAGCTACTGAATATTGTTGATAATTTTTAAAAATCTGATAAAGAAGTTCCAATGCATGTTCTGATGCTATGAGGTATTAATATTTTTTATAATTCTCGTGTGAAAGGTATACCAGGTGTCAAAGCTTTATTACTTGAAGAGTATGGTGTTCGACTGATTACCTATGATCTACCTGGTTTTGGAGAGAGTGATCCCCATCCTAGCAGAAACCTTAACTCTTCAGCTATGGACATGTCATACTTAACAGATGCTGTAGGAGTAAAGGGCAAATTCTGGGTTGTTGGACATTCAGGTGGTTCATTGCATGCTTGGGCTGCTCTAAAGTACATTCCAGATTGAGTTGCAGGTATGCTGTACTTAGCAGAGAGAGAAAGGAAGAAATTTGGGAGAGCAATATTTTATAAAATAATTGTAATGCATTTTCCTAAATATACTTTTCAAGGACAGCAATAAAATGAGTTTAGAGCGAACCTCACTGCTCCAATCCCCTCCCAATTGGGTGAGTGGCAGGGTATTCCATGGTACAAAACTTGAATCATGGTTATGAAACTGTGATCATCGGCTGTAAAATGCACTTGTAGGCATCATCCTGCCTGCTACACATCAAGAAGGAAGATTCTATTAAAATATCAGTAGGACATAATATGCATCTTGGAAATTTTACAAAGTGTTAATGTATGTTGTTACAGGTGCAGCCATGTTTGCTCCACTGGTTAATCCATACTACTCAGGCATGACTAAGGATGAGATGTCCAGAACTTGGGAAAAATGGACGCGGAAAAGAAAATTGATGTACTATTTGGCTCGAAGATTCCCCAAATTGCTTGGATACTTTTATCGTCGAACGTTTCTGTCTGGGAAGCACGGCCAAATAGATAAATGGTTGTCTGTATCAATTGAAAAGAAGGTAATTTCCATCTCTTCCTAGAATTTTTTGCACTGGTTAAAGCAATGAGATGAAGCTGCACTAGTAGTTCTTTATTTTGAATCAACACCTCAGGAAGAATGATAATTAATTTGGTTATCTGCTTAGTAATGTCTTCCAATTTAAAGCTGCAAGTTTTCTGCTTTTACTCATTTTATAATGGTAATTGATCCTGGGATTTCGTAAGTGCTGTTTTCCAGTTCAAAGCAAAATCATTTTCTGCTTTTACTCCTATCATATGTACTACTTGATGGAGCTTGGTACAGAATCTTTGATTCTTGGCCTGTCTGGCATGGCTTTTGCACTCTATAGAAGGGCTTTTGGATAAAATTAGCCAGACGGGTCCAAAAGTTGCTTTTGGATCTCAAAAGTTCATTTTGACTTTTCAAAAGCCATGCCAAACAAGGCCTCTGTCTCTGCTGTTGGGTCTTGTTTTTTCAACAACTAAAGACAGCAAGTTCAGATTAGAGAGAAATTGCATAGATATTGGTTTGAAACTTAAAAAAAGGAGTTCGGTGTGATTTTCGTGTGCTGAAACTTTTTGAGTTTTCAAATTTATTTGCCACAATATGCAAGAAACATTTTTCTTGATACTGATATTATCACAATAATAGTTTTATATGCTTGTAACTATGATAATTAGTCAATTTCAGCCTGCTTACTAGTTAAATGTAACTCGGTAAGCTTTGTTATGATTTTCATTATCTAAGATATGTACCACCTTTGATTATCCAGGACAAAGATCTGGCTGGAAAATCATCCTTTAAAGAACTGTGGCACAGGGATGTTGAAGAGTCAATTCGTCAGGGAAGTGCAAAACCATTTGTAGAGGAAGCTATACTGCAAGTATCAAATTGGGGTTTTAGCATTACGGATCTTCAAGTGCAGAAGAAATGCTCTACCATGGGCTTTTTCCCTTGGCTGAAGTTCATGTATGGTGACACAGAGTGTGAATTGACTGGATTTCTTGGTCCAATTCACATATGGCAGGTTTGCAAGCATTTCCTGTTTCTTTTTAACCATGCTTAGATACTTTTAGAAAATGAAACTGGGACAACTCCATGCTAGCTAAGTAACCATATTAACCGTATAACAATATGATATTCTACCTCAGAGTCCACAACCTGATATTGCCACTGTTGAAACAGGGGATGGATGATTTGGTAACTCCCCCCTCAATGGCTGACTACGTGGCCCGTATTCTACCCAGTGCTGTTGTACATAAACTTCCAGAAGAGGGTCATTTCTCTTATTTCTTTCTCTGCGATGAATGCCACAGACAGATACTCTCTGCCCTGTTTGGAGAGCCACAGGGTCCTCTCAAAGCTTTAGAGGAAACTTCTGAAAATGATAGTGAAGAAGAAGGATCAGACCTTAACTGATTACGGAGTTGGATGTCGTTTGGCTTCTGAAATTACTTGCACATACTACAGGTTGCCCCTTCCTCGGGGAGCCTAAAGGCAAATAACACTTCCTTGTTTTGTTTGCAAGACTATATTAACTTCTGAACTCCAAATTTGGGGAAAGGTAACAAAATGAATGGCGATGTTCTTTTGTTTGGGCAAAGAAACGACTATACCTCCATTTTCATTTGGACCCATTGCTGTTTTTTCAAGTTTTACCTTTCACTTTATAGTATGACTCCATGACTGCAATCAGCGTTGTCGAGAGTTGATCATGTTTATGCAATTATTCCTTTTTGTTTACGACTATATTGACGTTAAGGACTTCACCATTCGAGTGTTCACTGCCTTTGTTGTCAATTTCTATCATTTTCTTGACTGGTATTGTTTCGTCTTCAACCGGTGGGGAGGACTTGTTATTTTTCTTGCCCCAGATAAGAAGGAAAAGGCCGATAACTATTACAATGGCTCCAACAACCCTGTACAGAAATAATAGTAGCTTCATATTGCAGTACTCAAATGGACAACGCGATAAAGAAGAATTGCGCTTCTTTTTTATTTTTTAATATTGTCGGGTACTAACCTACCAAGCAAATCATAAGCATATAAATAAGGCTCAGGAGGAGCTTTACACACTCACCTTCCTAAGTACACTTGCTCGGCCAAAATAAAAGAGCTGAGGACAGCAACAATAACCAAGCTAAATGGGCCGAAAGCAGTTACAAAAACAGGGCCTTTGTCTTTCAATACAATTTCTTGGATGTAGTAAGCAAGTCCTGAAGAAACTTTTCCCTGCAATGTTTTCTAGTAAGCTGTTCTCTGTCATAATGATTCCATTTATGTACAAGTCATCCATTTTACGACTTAAAATATTTGGAGTCTTGGGAAAGTTGATGGTCGATTTAAGGATTATTTGATTGCCCTTGACCCTTTAGCATGTTTGGTATGCTGAACTGGACTTGATTAGACATAACTAAAAGAGATATATGACAAACTTTGAGTTATTCATCAAGTACTATCTATTCCAGTATGCCAGACATCATTATAGTCCAATTAGATCTCATCAGTATTATTATCTTGTGTATCCAACAAATTGGTCGAGTTCAAAGTCTCATTTCACTATCCAAAATAATTTGAAGTAAATTCCCCCTTTTAATATGTTGCTCTTACACTGTAAACTGCAAGAAATTTAGTGTCCCAGTTTATAGACCAGACTGCAGCTTTTCCCTTCTCCATTACTAGTGCCACCATCGCTCCCCCAGCTGTTCCGAACAGGCATATCCAAGCAGTGAGAGAGAGTTCAGCAGGATACGTTTTTAGTGTGATCGCCTATAAGACACAAGTAACAGTTAATTATCCTTCATTGCATGTTTGATGCGTTAAAAATACAATTAATTGTTGAAATTTTTGCAAAATTGTATTTTGTTCCAAGTTAGTTATTGAACTTTTAAGTTCTTTATGATTTGATCATTCTGTCCTAATTCACTAGTTGGCACTTGATAGCTAATTGATAAGTGAATAGGCTGCCAAGTCGCATTTGCTAGTCAAACTAACAGAAATGTACGAAGTAACCAAATCGTAACAAAGTTCAACGATCACTTTGAAACAAAGGAAAATTAATTATCTAACATAAAATATAGTTAAAAAGTTAAAAGTTCTTTATGTGTCTCAATGTATGATTGTCTGTATGTTTTATCACCTGCAATAGTGTGAAGGAAGCGCAGCAGAAACATCCAATTGTCATCATTAGGGAACGTTTGATTGAATTCTGAATATTTATTTCAAGTCTTTGGTGTCCATGGTTGCTGCTGCTTTCTTTTGTCCATGGCAGCTCTATAACTGGACCTCTTAATAGGGTCACAAGCATGGCTTCAGCCACTGTGGCAACAGTGCCAGCTACCTTGGCTTGGCTGTGGATGCTGTTTATCTCAAATTTCTCGAGCCTATAACAAAAATATTCAACTGTAGTAAATATGTTTTGTTATGCGAGATTGGACAGTATTAGACAAGATCCAGAAAGAAAAACAAGTTAAAATCTTGTCATTTGTACTGTGTCGTATAGCTCAGTACTATGTACTAAACAAACTAGAAGCTTTACGATATGCACCTTAGTAAGCAGGCCATGAGGAATGTAACAGCAGGAAGAATGTTGCACATAGATGCTGCAAGTTTTGCCGTTGTGTATTTCAACCCCAGGAAGTACAGGTTTTGGTCTTGGGCCTTTTCTTCCTGTGGAACAAATTATTGGCTGCTTCGTTCACCTTATGCATATCTGGGGCGAGAGAGAGAGAGAGAGCAAAAGGGGAAAAAATTACAATGGCAGCTATGGCATGGCGGTAGACTATGAACACATAATTACTCGTCCCTTCATTTAATGCAGCTTTAAAGAGGATATTCAATCCTGCAAGACCAAATTGTATGTAAACAACACCAAAGAAAGGTCTAGCCTTGTGAAATTGAGTGAACGTGGTCTCTCTTGATAGATTCCTCATCATTTCTCCTAGTTTTGATCACCACATCTCAATCTCTGAGATGGCTTTGATGATGGAGAGTGTGATTAGTAAGCTAAACTGAGTATTCACTAAGAAATAACTGCTGATGAATATGGAGGTACAGTAGTAACTCGAGTAAGTTCATAAGGTACTTGTCTTGAATTTATAGTAATCCTCACTTTGAATCCATTGATGGTACAGCATGATTAAATAAAACATCAGAATTCGATGCACACTTTTGTGTTGGATTGGACATAAGAAAACATCAGAATTTGATGTACTTTATGCGTGCGCGTATGAATCAACTTAATTGGTTCCTTTGTCGAAGATCAACTTCGGTCCAAGCTATCTGAGCCCAACTTTTATGAATAAAAGTTCACATGCAAGAGACTCCAATATCTATGAAGTTATTCGTTCTCTCACAATGATGAGATCCCGATAGAACATGTTAGAATAGCTATGGTGAAACCAAATGTTCTCTTGTAATAGTTAAAGATATTTTTATATATGTAGTCAACTCATTTTTCCACCAAATTATTTTCAATACATACATTTTATGGAATCCACGACTTTTGTCAACTTTTCAACTACATATTTCATCAATTTTTGTTAAAATCTATTAAAAATCTAATTTTTAGCTAAACCAAAAATGACGTGGTAATAAATAGCATAGAATGGCAAAAATGTATTTATGCATCCGATTTCCAATTTATTTTGATGGTTACTAGAATGAAGAAATTGTGAATGAAATCTGCCCAAATCAGTTTCAACCAGGCTATATTATGAACATATTTAAAACTGGAAATTGATCCATTTATCTTATTGAAGGCATTATGCTTTTGAATCAATACTTTTGACGATTTGTCCACTTCATTATTTTCTGTGCTTTCTGCTTTTGGAATTGCATTAAACATCCCAGTTCTATTGGAAACTTCTTCATTCATTATATAAGAAAGAAAATAAGAAAGTTGAAAATAATTGAGTTAACCCCTTGAATTGATTGGACTACTAGGTGCACGCCACCAAGGACGAAAATATTAATTTTATTATTGTTCTTAATTTCACATAAAGGTTTGAAGTATTAGAGAAGATTTGATACGTGCATAATCTCCGTACTTGATGATGGTGAGATTTGCCCTTGTTTGACAATCATCATTTGAAAACTCTTTTTTCTACATACTCATTTTTAACCAAACATTCACACAGTAAAATATTAAATACGTAAACCCAAAACTTTTTCTTACTTTTTAACTGTATATTCTCCTAAAAATCACTATTCAAAATATTGATTATCCCAAATAATAGTTGTCAAATAGGGGCTAAGCCCAAAATTTTTATCTATTCTAATACCATAGATTATCCCATCTAAAAGTTTAAGTCGTCGGAGAGAAATGTGCATAATATTCATACACGAGTGATGATGAGATTTGAAATTGAAATCTTTATCTACTCTAAAGCCGTGTGAAACTATCTCATCTAACAATTTAAGTCGTTGGAAAGAAATATGCATGGAGGTGAGATTTGAAATTCAAATTGTATATGTTGTAATCCGTTTTTATTGATTTAGATTTTACCCAACAATTAAATTAAGATGCCAGTATTATGTAGTATACCATTCTCGGGGTTCATTAGTAGGGACTGGACAAAGTAACCATTGTTTTTTACTTTTTTACACCATCAAACAAACTAAAATCTTAAAAATATTATTACATGTAATAAAAAACTAACATAGTTTGATGTAGTTGTTAATGATCTAGTTGCTTTACATGTTTATGTAAATCTAAAAATAAATCGATCATTATTTTGCCTAAAAGAATGTAGATAGCCGACTTCAAATATAAGAATAAAGCTTAGTTAGAAGTTATTATTCCACATTGTCACTTCATTCCACTTCGATAAAGGGTTTTGCTTATGAACTATTGCAATTTTGAAATTTTGAAATTTCAATTTGTTGGGATGAACTACTTTTCAACTAAAATATCATTAACTACAAAATTCTTGAATTTAGAAACTTCGCTGTAACAAGTTACATATCAGCTTTGTTATTCAAAGTTCGCCATACTACTTGAGTATTGGAGACCGAAAAACTCCATTTCGAACGTTAACAGCGAGTAGCTAGCTGTTCATCTCCATCTACAGCTCCTTCTTTAGACAAATTGATGTTAACGACCTCATGGATTGAGTGTTCATTGCCATTGTTGTCTATTTCTGTCATTTGCTTCACAGGTATTGCTTCTTCTTCGATCCGTTGGGATTTATAGTCTTTCTTCTTACCCCAAATAACAAGATAAAGGCCCATAACTATTACAATGGCACCAACAACCCTATACAAAAGTAACTTTATTTCATGTCTTTGCTCCTTCACGACACGTTGGCACGCAGTAGTAGACAATACCGCTTGGAGTTTAGATTTTCTTTTTTTTCTTCTTTAATATTGTCTAGTCTAACATACCAAACATGCCATAAACGAATAGATAAGATTTGTAGGAGAGGCTTATACTCACCTTCCTAAGAACATTTGCTCGGCCAAAATAAAAGAGCTCAGCACAGCAACAATAATCATGCTCAAGGGGCTGAAGGCAGTTACAAAAACAGGGCCTCTCTCTTTCATTACCACTCCTTGGATGTAGTAAGCAATTCCTGAACAAAATATGCCCTGCAATATTTGGTTATGAGCTTTTTTGGGTCAAAATTTGGAAGTATTTTGAATGAACTTGGAATAATTTGAGTGCTAATGGTTTAATCAAGGGTTATCTTCTTGCACCGAACTAGCATATTTGGTACGTTGGACTGAACATGATTAGACAATATTAAAAGAGATGCACGGTAAAATTTCCTGAGTCGTTCTCTCAAGTTTTGTTTGGTCCAATATATCAAACATGTCATTACAGTTTACTGGGGTTGCCATTTGTTTAAACATTTAACAATCAGGATTGGTCGAGGTCAAAGTCTCGTCATCAATGTTGAACATAATATGAAATAAATTGTTTCAATATGTTCTTCTTACACTGTAGACAGCTGCAAGAAATTTGGAGTCCCAGTTTATAGACCAGACTGCAGCTTTCCCCCTCTCCATTACTAATGCCACTATTCCACCCTGGGCTGTCCCCAACAGGCATATCCAAGCTGTGAGAGAAAGTTCAGCAGGATATGTTCTTAGTGTGATTGCCTATAAATACACGAGCAAGAGTTAGCACGATCGTAAATGGCTTGTTTGATAGGTTGGACTAGATGTTGCTGGACGAGATTAGAATCTTCTAGTACTGTGTAACACTTGTCACCTGCAAATTCATGAAGCAAGCCCAGCTGAAACATCCGACTGTGATCATTAGGGAACCCTTGATTGAACGATGAAGATTTATTTCAACTCTTCGTTGTTCATGGCTGCCGCTGCTTCCTTTTGTCCATGGCAGCTCTATGATTGGACCTTTTAATAGAGTCATGAGCATGGCTCCTGCCACAGTTGCCACAGTTCCAGCTAACTTGGCTTGGCTGTGGATGCTCTTTACCTTAAATTTCTCGAGCCTATGTCAAAGGTATATAACAATATTTTTTATTAATATTGTGTAAGCAGAGATGCACGTTGTGTAGTTATCATATAATATTACTATGCATGCGCATGCTCGTTATACTAGACTGGACAAAAATAAGGAAGAAAAACCCATTAAATTTTGTATCAATTGTATTATACAATGCAGTTCAGTACTATATACCAAACATGTCAGAAGCATCACGATATCCACCTGAAGAAGCAGGCCATGACGAGTGTAATGGCAGGAAGTACGTTGCACATAGCAGCAGCAAACGTTGCAGTTGTGTATTTCATCCCTAGGAAGTATAGGTTTTGGTCTACAACTGGCCTGTTATGGTAAAATCCTCAAATCTTATTACCAGATATTGCGGAACACAAAAGGTAAAATGCAGTAATTAGCTATTAAGAGACCTACTCCAATAAGCCAAGAAGCATTATCTTGCCAAATATTGAAAAAGTCATCTTAGGCCTTATTTTCCTGTGGAAAGAAAATTTTAGCCTGCTTACTTCACATGAACTAGAATATATATATATAGAGAGAGAGAGAGAGAGATTGACTTGTCCAGAATGAGTGCAAAAGGGGCAATGACAATTGTGGCTATGGCATGTCGATAGACGACAATACGTAGTTACTCATCCCTTCATTTAATGCAGCTTTAGAAAGGATATCCATTCCTGCAAGACCAAATTGCAGAAAAACTACAGCAAAGAAGGGTTTAGCCTTGTGAAGTTTACCGCATATTGTCTCTGTTGATATATGTTTCTTCATTTATCACAGTTTCGATCCGCACAACTCAATCTTGGGAAGAGGGAGATTGATAAGCTAAAGACGAATAATCAACCCTCAATGAATTAATGGGCAAGATATCCCAGTAAGTCGGCTAAGCTCTCAATTTATAATAGTTTTTCTACATTATTCTGCATGGTTTTCTTGTTCAGTTTTCTTCATTTGGTTCTGCTCCACTTGATAGGAATAGATTCTGAGTAAAAAGCCTTGCGATTGCTCTTTTTTATAGGAATGCTATGAAAACAAGTTAAGTAAAAAAACCCATTTTACAACGGTTTGCTTTCAATGTAAGAGTTACGTCTACCCTTTTAACCTTCTCTCTTTTCTGACTCTAATGATTCCTTCACGTTTGAATGGAAAAATATGTGATGGGAGTAACTTCTACTTTAGTTTGGTAAAGGACACGATGTCTAGAGATTAAAAAAAGATGAAAGTGAAGTCATATTTAAATGAACAAGATAAGAAATGAAAACGTACGTTAACAAATTAAGATAACATCGATTAAATATGAAAGAAACTTCAGTGGAACACTCTATATGCAGACTGTCCGCTCAAATCACGAGTCTACTATAACCGTTCAATCTATAATTTTGCCAATTTTTGCCTGCAGCACTTTTCTTTTCCTTGTTCTTTAAATCAATTTTTGTTAAAATCTATTAAAAATCTAATTTTTAGCTAAACCAAAAATGACGTGGTAATAAATAGCATAGAATGGCAAAAATGTATTTATGCATCCGATTTCCAATTTATTTTGATGGTTACTAGAATGAAGAAATTGTGGATGAAATCTGCCCAAATCAGTTTCAACCAGGCTATATTATGAACATAATTAAAACTGGAAATTGATCCATTTATCTTATTGAAGGCATTATGCTTTTGAATCAATACTTTTGACGATTTGCCCACTTCGTTATTTTTTGTGCATTCTGCTTTGGCATTGCATTAAACATCCCAGTTCTATTGGAAACTTCTTCATTATATAAGAAAGAAAATAAGAAAGTTGAAAATAATTGAGTTAACCCCTTGAATTGATTGGACTACTAGGTGCACGCCACCAAGGACGAATATATTAATTTTATTATTGTTCTTAATTTCACATAAAGGTTTGAAGTATTAGAGAAGATTTGATACGTGCATAATCTCCGTACTTGATGATGGTGAGATTTGCCCTTATTTGACAATCATCATTTGAAAACTCTTTTTTCTACATACTCATTTTTAACCAAACATTCACACAGTAAAATATTAAATACGTAAACCCAAAACTTTTTCTTACTTTTTAACTGTATATTCTCCTAAAAATCACTATTCAAAATATTGATTATCCCAAATAATAGTTGTCAAATAGGGGCTAAGCCCAAAATTTTTATCTATTCTAATACCATAGATTATCCCATCTAAAAGTTTAAGTCGTCGGAGAGAAATGTGCATAATATTCATACACGAGTGATGATGAGATTTGAAATTGAAATCTTTATCTACTCTAAAGCCGTGTGAAACTATCTCATCTAACAATTTAAGTCGTTGGAAAGAAATATGCATGGAGGTGAGATTTGAAATTCAAATTGTATATGTTGTAATCCGTTTTTATTGATTTAGATTTTACCCAACAATTAAATTAAGATGCCAGTATTATGTAGTATACCATTCTCGGGGTTCATTAGTAGAGACTGGACAAAGTAACCATTGTTTTTTACTTTTTTACACCATCAAACAAACTAAAATCTTAAAAATATTATTACATGTAATAAAAAACTAACATAGTTTGATGTAGTTGTTAATGATCTAGTTGCTTTACATGTTTATGTAAATCTAAAAATAAATCGATCATTATTTTGCCTAAAAGAATGTAGATAGCCGACTTCAAATATAAGAATAAAGCTTAGTTAGAAGTTATTATTCCACATTGTCACTTCATTCCACTTCGATAAAGGGTTTTGCTTATGAACTATTGCAATTTTGAAATTTTGAAATTTCAATTTGTTGGGATGAACTACTTTTCAACTAAAATATCATTAACTACAAAATTCTTGAATTTAGAAACTTCGCTGTAACAAGTTACATATCAGCTTTGTTATTCAAAGTTCGCCATACTACTTGAGTATTGGAGACCGAAAAACTCCATTTCGAACGTTAACAGCGAGTAGCTAGCTGTTCATCTCCATCTACAGCTCCTTCTTTAGACAAATTGATGTTAACGACCTCATGGATTGAGTGTTCATTGCCATTGTTGTCTAGTTCTGTCATTTGCTTCACAGGTATTGCTTCTTCTTCGATCCGTTGGGATTTATAGTCTTTCTTCTTACCCCAAATAACAAGATAAAGGCCCATAACTATTACAATGGCACCAACAACCCTATACAAAAGTAACTTTATTTCATGTCTTTGCTCCTTCACGACACGTTGGCACGCAGTAGTAGACAATACCGCTTGGAGTTTAGATTTTCTTTTTTTTCTTCTTTAATATTGTCTAGTCTAACATACCAAACATGCCATAAACGAATAGATAAGATTTGTAGGAGAGGCTTATACTCACCTTCCTAAGAACATTTGCTCGGCCAAAATAAAAGAGCTCAGCACAGCAACAATAATCATGCTCAAGGGGCTGAAGGCAGTTACAAAAACAGGGCCTCTCTCTTTCATTACCACTCCTTGGATGTAGTAAGCAATTCCTGAACAAAATATGCCCTGCAATATTTGGTTATGAGCTTTTTTGGGTCAAAATTTGGAAGTATTTTAATGAACTTGGAATAATTTGAGTGCTAATGGTTTAATCAAGGGTTATCTTCTTGCACTGAACTAGCATATTTGGTACGTTGGACTGAACATGATTAGACAATATTAAAAGAGATGTACGATAAAATTTCCTGAGTCGTTCTCTCAAGTTTTGTCTGGTCCAATATATCAAACATGTCATTACAGTTTACTGGGGTTGCCATTTGTTTAAACATTTAGCCCCTGTTTGATGCTCATTACCTGAAAATGAAAATGAGGGGAATAATATTTTTTAGAAAAATGAGTGGTTGAAAAAGAAGGAAAAATTTTCGATTTACGTGTAATATTATTTCATGAAAGATTGTGTGGCTAAAAATAGGAGAGAGAAAAATGAAATGTATTGTAATTTAATTTAATGGGGATCAAACGGGGCTTAACAATCAGGATTGGTCGAGGTCAAAGTCTCGTCATCAATGTTGAACATAATTTGAAGTAAATTCTTTCAATATGTTCTTCTTACACTGTAGGCAGCTGCAAGAAATTTGGTGTCCCAGTTTATAGACCAGACTGCAGCTTTCCCCCTCTCCATTACCAGTGCCACTATTCCACCCTGGGCTGTCCCCAACAGGCATATCCAAGCTGTGAGAGAAAGTTCAGCAGGATATGTTCTTAGTGTGATTGCCTATAAATACACAAGCAACAGTTAGCGCGATTGTAAATGGCTTGTTTGAAAAGTTGGACTAAATGTTGCTGGACGAGATTAGCATCTTCTAGTACTGTGTAACACTTCTCACCTGCAAATTCATGAAGCAAGCCCAGCTGAAACATCCGATTGTGATCATTAGGGAACCCTTGATTGAACGATGAAGATTTATTTCAACTCTTCGTTGTTCATGGCTGCCGCTGCTTCCTTTTGTCCATGGCAGCTCTATGATTGGACCTCTTAATAGAGTCATGAGCATGGCTCCTGCCACAGTTGCCACAGTTCCAGCTAACTTGGCTTGGCTGTGGATGCTCTTTACCTTAAATTTCTCGAGCCTATGTCAAAGGTATATAACAATATTTTTTATTAGTATTGTGTAAGCAGAGATGCACGTTGTGTAGTTATCATATAATATTACTATGCATGCGCATGCTCGTTATACTAGACTGGACAATAATAAGGAAGAAAAACACATTAAATTTTGTATCGATTGTATTATACAATGCAGTTCAGTACTGTATACCAAACATGTCAGGAGCATCACGATATCCACCTGAAGAAGCAGGCCATGACGAATGTAATGGCAGGAAGTACGTTGCACATAGCAGCAGCAAACGTTGCTGTTGTGCATTTCATCCCTAGGAAGTATAGGTTTTGGTCTACAACTGGCCTGTCATGGTAAAACCCTCAAATCTTATTACTAGATATTGCAGAAAACAAAAGGTAAAATGCAGTAATTAGCTATTAAGAGACCTACTCCAATAAGCCAAGAAGCATTATCTTGCCAAATATTGAAAAAGTCATCTTAGGCCTTATTTTCCTGTGGAAAGAAAATTTTAGCCTGCTTACTTCACATGAACTAGAATATATATATATAGAGAGAGAGAGAGAGAGATTGACTTGTCCAGAATGAGTGCAAAAGGGGCAATGACAATTGTGGCTATGGCATGTCGATAGACGACAATACGTAGTTACTCATCCCTTCATTTAATGCAGCTTTAGAAAGGATATCCATTCCTGCAAGACCAAATTGCAGAAAAACTACAGCAAAGAAGGGTTTAGCCTTGTGAAGTTTACCGCATATTGTCTCTGTTGATATATGTTTCTTCATTTATCACAGTTTCGATCCGCACAACTCAATCTTGGGAAGAGGGAGATTGATAAGCTAAAGACGAATAATCAACCCTCAATGAATTAATGGGCAAGATATCCCAGTAAGTCGGCTAAGCTCTCAATTTATAATAGTTTTTCTACATTATTCTGCATGGTTTTCTTGTTCAGTTTTCTTCATTTGGTTCTGCTCCACTTGATAGGAATAGATTCTGAGTAAAAAGCCTTGCGATTGCTCTTTTTTATAGGAATGCTATGAAAACAAAGTTAAGTAAAAAAACCCATTTTACAACGGTTTGCTTTTAATGTAAGAGTTACGTCTACCCTTTTAACCTTCTCTCTTTTCTGACTCTAATGATTCCTTCACGTTTGAATGGAAAAATATGTGATGGGAGTAACTTCTACTTTAGTTTGGTAAAGGACACGATGTCTAGAGATTAAAAAAAGATGAAAGTGAAGTCATATTTAAATGAACAAGATAAGAAATGAAAACGTACGTTAACAAATTAAGATAACATCGATTAAATATGAAAGAAACTTCAGTGGAACACTCTATATGCAGACTGTCCGCTCAAATCACGAGTCTACTATAACCGTTCAATCTATAATTTTGCCAATTTTTGCCTGCAGCACTTTTCTTTTCCTTGTTCTTTATTTAAGAATGCAATGCACCAAACATTCCAATTCCTTAACTGAAAACTTCTGATGTAGGAAAGAATAAGTGCGTGCCTGACTGCCATCTTTTGCCCCTAGGGCACATCTTCAAGTGGTAAAAGGGGAGGGTGGAGAAATTCAGCTTTGCTTGAGGCTGCTGCATTTAGGGTTCGAATCCTGAAATATGGATTTGACTCTTAGGTAAGTACAAGTGTACAAGCAGTCTTCCACCCTGTACCCTTGGAAGCATAACTTGCGATTTACCTTCCTCACGATGCTCCAGGGTAGAGGCGATGGGGGACCCTTAAAGTTAGGGTTCAACCTTTTTTTTTTCTTTTGGAAAACAATTGATTAACCCTCGAATTGATAGAATAACTTGATGCATAGCTATCTCGTTTATTGATTTACTTACAAAGAAACATATATTAATTTATTAAAATTTTATTCGTTATTAGACTATAACAAATAAAATACGGTGTCGTCACTCCACTCACTCCCAAATCCAAATATTGGATCTGTTTCCCGCTGATTGGACTTCTCATGTTAGCAACAGAATATTTGACAGAACGTCATTAGGAAAACTATCGACTAAAAATTAGCTCCAAATATATTCCTAATTCGAATCCACAAGAATAAGAATTTTTTAGTGCGTGCTGGGTTAAGCATAAAAAGTCAATTATCCAATACGTTTATTAACAAAAATTACTTGAATTTAACGTGCTTGTGTTCTTAGCCAAAAAGGCTTAAACGATAGATAGGTTGTGGCTTCCACGCAATGCGATTCTAAATAGAGATGGCAAAAAAATCCGTTTAACCCGATACCCGTGGGATCTCGTCCCGAATGGTTAAGGGAATACCCGTCTAATCGGGTACGTGGAACGTGAAAATATCTAGTGGAGTAGGGGTGGAGAAGGGTGCCCCGACTCATACCCGCCCCGTTGCCATCCTAATTCTAAAGCATCCTATGGTGGAAGTGTCATCGAGGGGGAATAAAATTCGACTTCCCACTATGGTGGGCAAAACATTTTGGATCAAATCAATCACTTCGAGCCCTTCATCTGGAAACTAAAAATTGAAACAAAAACTCGTTAATTGGTCCTTTTCGTAAAGTCTAAAGAATAATTTTCTGCGACTTTAGTAAAGTTGGTATGACACTATATTTCATTGAAATTTAGGACCTGTTTGATAAGCATGAATTTTCCATGAAAAATGGAATTCAAATTCCAACTTTCACTTTGTAACTTTTTGATAG